TGAGCGACTTTACTTTCATGTTTCACTTTCATGCGTTGGAGAAGGCAGTGGCAACCGACTCCAGTATTCTTGCCTGGAGAATCCCAGGGACGGGGTAGCCTGGTGGGCTGCCATCTATGGGGTCGCACAGAGTCGGACACGACTGAAGCGACTTAGCAGCAGCAGCAGCACAACTACAATTATATTTGGTCTTCACTGGTGGCTCCAGGGGTAAAGAATCCACCTGCCAATGCAGGAGATGCAGGTTCGATCCTTGGATTGGGAAGATCCCCTGGAGAAGGAAATGGCAACCCATTCCGGTATTCTTGCCTGGGAAATCCCTTGAACAGAGGAGCCTGGCGAGCTAAAGTCCATGGGGTTGCAAAAGAGTCAGACACAACTTAGAAACTAAACAACAACACAATAACAAAGAATTATAACTAAGTTTCACAGGAAGTAAAATGTGTGCTGTGTGGCAGAGATGGCTTGTGGTCACAAACTCTTTCTCCCCCTTCCTTCTCAGTTAAAAAAAAAAAATCCTGATTTTATTTGGGCAGCAATAAACTCAATTAAAGGCTGTTATTTCCCAAACTCCCTTGCAGCAGGGCTTGGCGTGTGATTAAGTTCTGGTCAGTGACACATAAGCAGAGTATTGAGTGGGACATGGAACTTGGGGACTGGGAGTGAAGGGAGAGGGAAGGGAAAGGCTGCCCTAAAGAACCTGGCTAAATAAAAAGGAATGAAATTGGGCCATTTGTAGTGATGTGGATGAACCTAAAATCTGTCATACAGAATAAAGTTAAGTCAGAGGGAAAAAAACAAATATCGTATATTAACACATATGTTTAAAACCTAGAAAAATGGTACTGCTGGATCTGTTTCCAGGGCAGGAATAGAGAGGCAGATGTAGAGAACAGATATGTGGACAAGGGGGAAAGGGGAGGGTAAGTTCAACTGGAATATTAGGACTGATGTATATACACTACCATGCGTAAAATAGACAGCTAGTGGGAAGCACAAGGAGCTTACAGCACAAGGAACTCAGCTTAGTGCTCTGTGCTGACCTAGAGGGGTGGGATATGGCATGGGGGTGGGAGGGAGGCTCAAGAGGGAGGACATACATGTATACATATAGCTGATTCACTTCATTGAACCGCAGAAATAAACAACATTGTAAAGCAAGTATACCCCAAAACAAGAATTGGCTCAGCTTAGAGACAGATCTTTTCTACCTTTTCACTCTTGGAACCAGGAGTTCTAGCAGCCAGCTTGGACTGTGGGTTAAGAAAAGGATCCACCACTAGGAAATGAAGCAGAAAGCTAAGAGCTGAGTCCCTAATAACTTCGTGAAACTGCCATATTCACTCTGAACTGGCTACATCTGGACCTCATTTATGTGAGAGAATCAACTCCTGTGCCTTTGTTGTTGTTTGTTTTATTTTTATTATTATATTCAGCTCTCTCTATCAAAAACCTTAGTGGGTTTAGCAGAAGGAAACAGATCAGTCAAACTCAGGACCCATGACTTAGGCCCTTGCCGCTCAAAGTGTTGTCCCTAGTAGAGCAGCATGGGCATCACTTGGGGACTTGTTAGAAATGCAGAGTCCCAGGTCCTGCCCAGTCCTACTGAGTCAGAATCCGCACTTTAACAAGAGCCTCAGGTGACCTGTGGGCTTCCCTTGTGTCTCAGCTGGTAAAGAATTGCCTGCAATGTGGGAGACCTGAATTCGATCCCTGGGTTGGGAAGATCCATTAGAGAAGGGAAAGGCTACTCACTCCAGTATTCTGGCCTAGAGAATTCCATGGGGTCACAGAGTCGGACACCACTGAGCGACTTTCACTTTCACTTTGCAGGTGACCTGCATACACACCTGGAGACGTTTGAATGGCACTGCCTGAAAGTAAATGCCCTTAGAAATACCAGACTAAACATCATGGGTTTGAATGACCTGCTGCATGGTGCTCTTATTACCTAGATTGATATCCTAAAAAAATGAGACAGATATATGACCCGAGTTTAATATCAGATTATCTTCAAATGATTAGTTTCTCAAAAGGCTCAAAATGCACTAAAGAAAAGCAAACATGAAGGTTGTAAAAAGCCTAAAATTAGGCTCTTATAATTAATAGTAAAGTAGGGAGCTTTACACATAATGACAAAAATCCAGAAACAGTAACCATTTTGGCTATTTATCACATGAAAGCTTTTTTATTATCATTTTTGTTACTAGCTGCTAATCCCTGACAAGTTCAGTTGTATCCTAACTGCCCAGCTGAAAACACTTTTTACCTGTGCAGCATTTAAAAGTGTAAATTATATTCTAATGTATTCTTACAGTCTGGAAATTTTCACTCCACTCCACAAAAGAACTCCTAGTAAGTAAATGCAATTCATTTTTTAATTTTTATTTTATTGAAGTTTACTTGATTTACAGTGTTGTGTGAATTTCTTCTGTACAGCAAAGTGACTCAGTTGTACATGTGTGTATATATATATATATTCTTTTTCATATTATTTTCCATTACTGTTTGTCACTAGATATTGAATATAGTTTCTTGTGCTACACAGTAGGATCTTGTTTATCCATTCTATAGATAATAGTTTGCATCTGCTAAACCCAAACTTCCATTCCTTCCTTCACCAGTCTCCTCCCCCTTGGCAACCACAAGTCTACTATGTCTGTGAGTCTATTTCTGTTTTTTGGATAAGTTCATTGTGTCATATTTTAGAGTCCACATATAAGCAATATCATATGGTATTTGTCTTTCTCTTTCTGACTTAACATTACTGAGTATCATAACCTCTAGATCCATCCATGTTGCTGTACCTGGCATTATTTCTTGTTTATGGCTAATAATGATAACAACTAGTTTGTTCTTTGTGTCTGTGAGTCTGTTTCTTTTTTGTTATATTCACTAGTTGTTTTTTAAATTTCTTAGACTACACATATAAGTGACAGCATACAGTATTTGTCTTTTTCTGACATTTTCACTGAGCATAATACCCATGTGGTTACTAATGGCACAAAATGCCATTCTTTTTCAGGGCTGACTAGCATTCCACTGTATATACAGACCAGGTCTTCCTTGTTCATTCATCTGTCAGTTGACATTTACGTTGTTTCCATGTCTTGGCTTTTGCAAGTAGTGCTGCTATGAATACACGGTACGTGTGTTTTGTCTGGATATATGCCCAGGAGTGGGGTTGCTGGATCATTTGGCAACTTTAAGCAAATGCAATTCCTAAACAAATAAGATGTTTTGAATCACTTGACTTTGGCTAATTTTCGAATAATTTTTCTACAGCAGTATTTTAGGTGTAATTTACATACAATAAAATGCCCAGATCTTAATTATACTGCTGGATGAACTGGACAGTCATATTCACCCATGTAACCATCACCCCAATCAAGATATAGGACATTTCCATACACCAAGACATTCCCTCTAACTGCGCTGCAGTCGCTTCCCTCTTTCACCTGCCACACAGAGCCAGCCGCATCTACAATGGGTACCATATTCTTATGTGACCAGAAAATGGAACCAAAGATGATTTTACAATTTAAATCTGATGAAATAGCACTAAGACCCATAAAGCTCCATGCTGCCTGCAGTTGGTCTTAATAAGCTTCTATCCTCTCTCAAAAGCTTGTCTAGAGACTTTCCCTTTTCAGGTGGTCCAGCAGTTAAGAATCCATGTTCCAGTGCAGGGGACAAGGGGTCGATCCCTGGTCAGGGAACTAAGATCCCACATGCCTCTGGGCAACTAAGACTGCATACTAAAACTGGAGGGCCTGTAGCCCTCCAAGCTCCTCTGTCCATGGGGTTCTCCAAGCAAGAATACTGTCCATGGGATTCTCCAGGCAAAAATACTAGAGTGGTTTGCCATCTCCTACTTCAGGGGATCTTCCCAACCCAAGGATCAAACCTGTGTCTTCTGTGTCTCCTGTATTGGCAGGTGGATTTTTCATCACTGAGTCACCTGGGAAGCCCCAGAAGGTAAAGTAATTTACCGTTAAATACAAAGTTTACTTTTTAAAAAACTTCTGATTTCACCAGGTCATCATTTGAGTTGAAGTTAGGAATTAGGTAAGCTAAACATCTTTTTTTTTCTTTTGTCCTAATCCATTATTTTTTTATTGGAGTATAGTTGCTTTGCAATGTTGTGTTAGTTTCAGGTATTACAGCAAAGTGAATTAGTTATACACATACATACATCCACTTTTTAAAAAATTCTTTTCCCATGAAGCCCATTATAAAGTAATTGAGTAGAGTTCCCTGTGCTACACAGCACGTTCTTCTTAATTACCTATTTTATACACAGGAGTGTGTATCAATCGTAATCTCAAAAAAAAAAATCCTAATCTCCCAATTTATCCTTCCCCCACACCCACCCTCAGTAACCATAAGACTGTTTTCTACATCTGTGACTCTGTTTTGTAGATAAGTTCATTTGTGCCCCTTTTTTTATATTCCACATATAAGCAAATATAAATGTCGTATAATATTGTTTATATGTGGAATATAAAAAAAAGGGGGGGGGGCTTGAGAATTTCAGGACTGTATAGACCATGGGGTAACCAAGAGTCGGACACAACTGAGAAATTTTCACTTTCACTTTTCACTATATGATATTTGTCTTTCTCTAATCCAACATATTTAATTAAAAATAAGTATACAGATAGCTTCTGAGCACTCTCTTCCTACTTAGAATCAATTTACTCCACTGATTTTTCAGTGGTTCACTTTTCCCAGTTTAAGGAGATAGGCAATGATAATTCACATACAAGAAAATTATGAGAAAGGCACTTGTAAGTTTTGGTACACTGCAGATTTAAGAAACCACTAATACTAACAGTTCTACTTATAAACCCAGGTAACCAATTCTGAAATGTCATATCCAAACAAAAAGTCTGAGACCACACATACTGAAATTCCTGGTTCCTCTCAACCAATGCATCCATATCCTAGAGAGGCATTTTGTCACTAATTACAGCCAATGGTGCGCTGGCTTCCAGGAGTCAGAGTTCTGTTTGGGGGTGCGTCGATGCATACTTGGGCGCCAGTTCTTTGATGAGATTCACGTAGTCGGTTTTTTCTGCGCAGGCTCTGCACTCTTCTCCCCAGCCATGCAGTATCTGCTTCAGCTCTGCTACTCTCATCTTGGACAGGTCCACTGATGCCAAGTCCAGTTTCTTTTCTTCATGACAAAAAGGAAAGGTATACATTAAAAAAAAGAAAGAAAGAAAAGCAAATGGTGTTACTTATCTTGGTACTGTCTACCCTGTGATCCAAAGTGGGGAAGGGTTCCAAGTTCTATGGAAACCAAGACATACCTAAGAAAAATGTATCATATACAAAGCTATTAGGATAACTCATGATCTATCAGATTTCCTCTGCATGGAATCATACTTGCTGCAAAACGGGGACCTATGCAGCGTTCGTAAAATGAATAGCACCGCATCCTAATTGCTACTTTTAAGGAAAAAAGAAGGGAATCAAGAGGGTGGTGCCTTGGGATGGCCTTGTGTGTGTGGCCAACTGAAAGCCATGAGTTGTAATTTACTAGAAAGTTATGGTTCACTTTTTCTTTTTCTTTTAATTTTTTTTAATGTGGACCATTTTTAAAGTCATTATTGAATTTGTTAAAATACTGCTTGTTTCATGTTTTGTTTTTTTTGGCTGTGAGGCATGTGGGATCTTAGCTCCCCAACCAAGGATTGAACTTGTACCCCCTGCATTGGAAAGTGAAATCTTAACCAGTAGGCTGCAGGGAAATCCCATGGTTCAGTTTTTATAGAAAGATATGTCTGAGGTAAAAATGGATGAGCATATATATTACAAAGCACTAATACAAATTAGTTTTTAATACAAATTTAAAGAATTTAAATACAATTTTAAAATATAAATTTAAAGAATATAAATACAATATAAAGAATTTAAGATAGCTTTTAAATACAAATTTAAAGAAACCCAAACACATGAATGAAATTAGGAGCATTCTCACCAATCCTTAGCTATTTTCGATCTCAGCTTAAACTCACCTGATCCCCACTCCCCTACTGAGATTACCAAACCACACAGAGTTTAGTTACAGTCCTTTGGGGTATACCAACTTCTCTAATGCTGGTGCTTCTGTACCAGCCAATCTGGTCCCTAATGTTCTTGCCAATAGGATCTGTCACCAGCATCTAACTCCTCTAGCAAGACTATTGTTTCCCTACTTACAGATTATCTTCAGAGGATGTGAAGAACTCAGCTACTTCTCTATTGCCAAGCCCAAAAATAGAAAAAAAAAATTAAGGTCATCTATAATATACTCGTGACTATGATTTCTGTATCAGAAAAGGGCATTTTTTCTCTTTCAAAGGAAAGTGTCCTCCCCACCTCCCCAGCCACTAGGTGCATGCTTGCACATAGCTACAGCACTTCAGTTGATTTATTCAACTATTAGTTCTGGGACTTCCCTGGCTGTCCAGTGGTTGAGACTACACAGTTCCACTGCAAGGGGCGTAGATTTGATCTTGGGTCGGGGAACTAAGATCCCACATGCTGCATGGCGTGGCTAAAATATTTTTAAAATATTTTAAAAATTAGTGGCATCCTAGGACTTTTTCAGTTTGATATCTTTTGAAGCATTTCTTTTTGACCCCTACATAAAAGCACATGGCATTTAAAAGCCTTTTAATAACCTAACATAGCTGTCAAGTGATTTATCAAAATTTTCCAGTAAGTATATCCTAATTTAAAAGTTGAATTTTACACTTAGGAATAAACTTAATCAAGGAGGTCAAAGATCTGTATACAGAAAATGACAAGACTTCGATGAAAGAAATTAAAGAAGACATGAACAAATGGAAATAGATCCCATATTTATGGTTTGGAAGAATTCAAAATGTCCATGCTAGACTTCCCTGGTGGTACAGTGGATAAGAATCCACCTGCCAATGCAGGGGACACAGTTTCAATCCAGAAAGATTCCACATGCCACGGAGCAGCTGAGCCCGAGGGCCACAACTATTCAGCCTATGCTCTAGGGCACAAGTGCAGCTGCCAAGCCTGTGCACTGCAATCACTGAAGTCCACATGCCTAGAGCCTGTGTTCTGCAACAGGAGGAGCTGAGTATTTGAGTATGGCGTGCTTAATCGTGTCTGATTCTTTGTGACCCCATAGACTAGCCCACCAGGCTCCTCTGTCCATGGGATTTGCTAGGCAAGAATACTGGAGTGGGTTGCCATTTCTTACTCCAGGAGATCTTCCCCACCCAGGGATCGAACCCACGTCTCCTTCATTAGCAGTCGGATTCTTTACCACTGCGCCGCCTGGGAAGCCCTCTGCAACAAGAGAAGCCACCGCAGTAGGAAGCCTGCACACTACAACTAGAGAAAAGCCCGAATAAAGCAACAAGACCCACAGCACAGCCAAAAATAAATAACATGAAGTTTTTTTTTAATTAATTGTCTATACTATCCAAAGCAATCTATAGAACCAATGTAATCCCTACTAAAATGCCAGTGGCACTTTTGCGGAGATAGAAAAAAAAAAAGTCCTAAAATTTGTATGGAATCATAAAGGACCTCGAATAGTCAAAGCAGTCCTGAGAAAGAACAAAATGGTCAAGACAGTTAATAATGCTGTATTGTATATCTGAAAGTTGCTAAGAGAGTAGAGCTTAAATATTATCACAAAAAAGGAAGGGTAATTAGATGATATAATGGAGCTTGTTCGCTAACCATCACAATTGGTACTTACATGATTATGATGGAGATATTAGCTAATGTAATCATATTACAATATATAAGTTTATCAAATCAACATATTTTACACCTTAAACTTTTACACTTTTATATGTCAATTATATCTCAGTAAAGCTGGAAATAAATCAAAGTTGTATATAAAGCCCTTTTTATTTGGAGGGTCACTACACTCTGTGCTCCAGAGAATTCTTACATATGTGTGTGTATTTTGAATTTAAACTTTTTATTTCAATTGGATTGTAGCCAATTAACAATATTGTGATAGTGTCAGGTACACAGGAAAGGGACTCAGCCATACATATACATGCATTCATTCTTCCCCAAATTTCCCTCCCATCCAGGCTGCCACATTACATTGAGCATAGTTCCCTGTGCTATACAGTGGGTCCCTGTTGGTTATCCATTTTAAATATAGCAGTGTGTAAATCTCAATACCAAACTCCCTAACTATCTTTTTCCGCCACCCTTCCCCCACCGGTAACCATAAATTCGAGACTCTTTACAATTTTTAACAATGATTCCTATTCTTTTAAAAAACAGAGAAAGCAGACACATCCTGTCAGGTTAGAAACCAACTAACACCTTCCTGATTGAAAACATATTCCAAATCTACACTTACCTTGTTTGTTAATTTCGTGGCTGATATGATGGAATACCTTTAAGAGTAGAAGCCTTTATAACCCAAATTTTAGTATTCCACAGCTCAAAGGCCCTTGTTCAATATCAACTTTTTCACCAAAAAGAAGCTGGGAAAAATTTAGAACTAGTGGCCTATTCAAGATAAATGGTTGAAGGAGAAAATTACTTTCTTTTAGGTGCTGGTAGTTTCTTCAGGTTATTCTAGAGAACTTATCATTTGATATCAATTTAAAAAGAAAATTCTCTATGGCACCCTAAAGCTACAGGGGAAAGGTTGATACCAAAAGTAAATCCAGTCCATGGCTCCCCAGGGGCCTCTAGTGGCCAGCATTGCTGAAACATTAGTTAAGTATTCATTTCTTCTCAATAATATCTGATGAATTTTTATTCAAGGAACCCAGTAAGATACCTTGCTCATAGCAGAAATTATTCAAAAGAAATGTGCTAAATGAAAGAATCAGTACAGTTTTATCCCTTTGGGGACTGTTTTTTCTATGGACTCAGTGATTCCTCCTTCTACTTCATTACTTGGAAGCCAAGAAAAAGATGCTAGTCCATCATCACCACCCTGTAGGTTAGGGCTTGCCCTTGCCCATTTGAGAAACAGGTTGTCTTTGATATCTTCCAGATATTAAACCTTTTTAAAGCCAGATATGTAGCTATGGAGCACAGGCATATTACACAGCTATGTTGAAAAATAAGTCTAAAGTATTAATGATTCAGAGTTGGGTGCTAATTACTTAGGTAGTTTAAAATACTACACCATGTATATAATGTGAAACAATGACATAAACAAAAGAAATGGACTTTTTCTGGTGGAACTTCAGGGGTTAAAGGATAGGCTAAAGGCGGAATTCCCCAGCCTTCAATAAGTCCTATCCATCTACCCCAAAGACTGGCCCAGATACAAATTATCTGTATAAGAATAGATATATGTATGTAAAATTTATAAGGCCAAGGATAACGTTTTAAATAGGACATCTTCCTTTTCTGGCTGTTTATTTTTGGCACCCTTGATAAGTCTATTTCATCAGGCAAAATCTGATTTGATGTGATTAACCTATTTCCTAAAAGTTAAACCTGGCAAAGTGATAGACCTAGGAAGAATATTAGAGCCCCATTTAAAACTTCAGGGTCCTTACATTACCTTTGAGTAGATGCACCTTTGGTCTTAATAGGTTACCAAGAGCTAATTCACCATGAATAGCTGCTCCCTTGATTTTTTTTTTTTAATTGGCCATACCACATGGTATGTGGTATCTTAGTTTCCTGATCAGGGATGCAACCCATGCCCCCTGCATTGAAAGGGCAGAGTTTTAACCACTGGACCGCCAGGGAAGCCCCTCCTTTGATATTTTGAACTTTTCCTTGACATCTGTAGTTGAAAATATCTTGGTGATTTAAGAGTTTAAATTTTGCCATTTGGGTGGGCAGTTTCACCTAATGCTGATTGTGCCAGAATTCATTTTTCTTTCGTGAAAGAAGCTCAGACAACACTGGACACCATCCAGTAGCCCAGCATCCTATTAGCAAGTGTAGAATTCCTTTTCTTCTAACACTGATTGTTTAGAAACCTGGACCATGTTTAGGGGATTGGCAATACACTGGGGGGAAAACATTAAACTCCATTATACCGTATTTCAGCTCACAGATCTGACTGTCCATCTTCTTTAGCTTCTCACATATCTTTGCGGCAGGCATGTGCACACTCATCGGGCGAGTGACCTCACTTAGGATCTTCGTAGCAGCATCTTTTGTTGCTCCTAGATAGTAGCACTGAAGGGGAACAAAGAGAATTTAGGGTCCCAGACACTGGAAAAAGCAAGCAGTATAATTTCAAGAAGCGAGAAAGAGGTTAACCTAGTTTTCAGGGCCCAGATCTTAAATTGAACCCCTACTCACTAAGACACAAGAAAACAATGACTCCATTCCCATGATCAGCCTTATTAGAAGTGCCCTGAAATTGACATTAAACTTAAAGACTAATGATAAGAGATAATAGTTGCTAAATGTTTTGTCTATGTCAGATGCTGCTCTCAGGGCTTTAAAGATATTGATGTATTTAATTCTCATAACAAGCCTGTGACATTAGTACTAGAACTTTCCCTATTTCACACCCAAGTCAACTGGAGGTCACCCAACCAGCAAATAGAAGAGACTGAATGAATTTAAAAATCTAGCCTTCTGGCTCTGGGGTCCACGCCCTGTTCCATCATGTTGTACTGCCTTTCAAGCTACCTGAAAAGCATTTTACATTTAAAAATATAAAACTTAATGGCGCAGACAATGCCGAGATTTTTATAGTGTGCCAGTGGTGAGCAGTTAACAAGGTGAATTTAACTGACAAATTCAATACGACAATTTTAGGCAAAGCAAATTGGCCCCAGATTGTCTTTAGTGCTATAAAGACAGTATATTGGAACAAGTCATTTGTGTTTACCCAGGAAACACCATTTCAAGATAATAAAAATACTTCATTAATTATGCATAAATAATGATGTAAAAATATTTTGATAGGTTTCACCAATTGTCTTGATTAGAAACGTAAAGTCTAACACATATATATGGAATTTAGAAAGATGGTAACGATAACCCTATATGCAAAACAGAAAAACAGACTCAGATGTATAGAACAGACTTGTGGACTCTGGGAGAAGGCGAGGGTGGGATGTTTCAAGAGAACAGCATTGAAACATGTATATTATCTAGGGTGAAACAGATCACCAGCCCAGGTTGGGTGCATGAAACAAGTGCTCAGGCCTGGTGCACTGGGAAGACCCAGAGGGATTGGGTGGAGAGGGAGGTGGAGGGGGGAACGGGATGGGGAATACATGTAAATCCATGGCTAATTCATTTTAATGTATGACAAAAACCACTGCAATGATGTAAAGTAATTAGCCTCCAACTAATAAAAATAAATGGAAAAAAAGAAAAAAAAAGGAAACGTAAAGTCTACCCACACTTAGGACAGCAAATAAATTCTCATTAGGAATTCAATTGTATAGTAAATAATTTCATTTAAGAAATCATGGAATTGGTTGCCTTTGTTTTTTCCAAAAAGCCAAATGAAACCAGATATATTCTAGGTGAAAATACATTGACTCCATTTTCCTGAAAGATCAATTTTTGCTGGCCTTCTACAGAGAACATGCTTGGGGCAAACATCCAAACAGGAGGACATTAAACTCAAGATAAGAAATGAAACAGTTAGCAGTTTTCTCCAAGCACAGGGGGAAAATGAAAGGTGAAAATTTACCATACCAGGCGGTTTTCTTTTCCTTTGACATCCAAGCAAAAGTTGATCAATTCTTTTTCTATGGTGTCCAGAGAAAAGTTGACTCCTCTGGCTATCAAAGAGTTGTAGAATCGACTCAAGAATTCTTGACATACTATAAGGAACAAAGAAATTATGTATTTGTGTATTTATGTACAATATCACCACTACCACACCTATGTACATGTCCCTCCCACCAAATAAAAAAGTATGATTCAGTGCATTGTGACAACAAATTCATATTATAGGTAAGAATGGTTTGGGGTCTGTACCTATTAGCTTAGTATTGGGCCTTGAATAGCATAAGCTTATTGAATCAATCCAGTCTGTGAAACCAAGTTTCACTCTCAAATATGAGAATTTCCCACCTAATATGAGAATGTCACTAACCCTATAGGAACATATAGCCAGCCTCCTCTGGGACATGATGCTAGGGACAGCTTTGGTAAAGCACAGAGAAGAACCAAAGTATGTGTGTTGAATGAAGCTCCGTGGTAGTCTGCATCTGTGTCTTTGTTCCAGTTTGAACCCCTATCTAAACAATCATATTCAGTCCCAGGGTCCAAAGTTAGTGAAGAGATGACAATCAGAAGAGGCACAGGCCAAAGAACAACCCTAGTTACTGGCTGTTGGCATCATTGTGAGTACTTTATGTGGATGAACTCATTCCAGTCTCAGATCAGAGCTCTGATGTAGATACATTTCTACCCTTATTTTACAGATGAAGAGGCTGAGTCAGAGAGACGCCAGTGAACTTGCCCAGTAAATGGTCGAGGCAATTTGATCCCAGGAAGTCTCCCTCTGGTCCACAGCCTCATCCACTAGGTTACTCTGCAACAGGAGGAGCTGCTTTCCCATGTTGCTAGCTCAAAGGGGCAGGTGTGTAGTCCAAGCAAGCTGAAAAGGAGATGGAGACCAGAGCTCGTGCTGGAACAAAGCAGCCCTAATATTAGAAAGAGAATTTTAGGGGAATATCATAAGGAAGAGCAGCAAATTCGATGGTTGTTATTTAGTCACTTAGTCGTGTCCAACTCTTTGCAACCCTATGAACTGTAGTCCACCAGGCTTCTCTTTCCATGGGATTTCCCAGGCAAGAATACTGGAGTGGTTGCCATTTCCTTCTCTAAGGGATCTTCCCGACCCAGCGATCAAACTCATGTCTCCTGCGTCTCTTGCATTGCAGGCAGATGATCTACTGCTCAGCCACCAGGGCTCATTAAAAATTCCAAAAGCCTTTGTCAAATCAGATTTGACGAACTGATCCAAAAATACATATGAAAAAACAAGAGCAAATGAAAGCCAAGAAATTTCTGAAGAAGGAACTTGGGGAGTAGATCTTACTGATATCAAGATAATTCTAAAGCTATAGTATTTAAAATATGATGGGACTGGTGCAGAAAAAAAGCCACTGGAACAAAAGTGAGACTAGAAACAAATCCAGAAATCTAGAGGAACTTGGTATAGGATGGAAGCAATGTTAAAAATCAGTGGGGGAAAAAATGCACAAGTCAATAAATGATACTCGGACCATATACCATGGGAAAAGATCAACTTAGATCCCTATTGGAAATGACACAAATGTGAATCCCAGGAGAATAAAGACATAAGAGAAAAGCCACAAAACAAGTTTTAGAGGAAAGCATCTTCTTCATAGCATCAGGATAAGGAAGAATTTCTTAAAGAAGATACCAAACCAGAGGCTGTACATTTAATCACATCAAAATTAACCACTTTTGTAAATGCAGAATAAATCATAAGCAAATGATAAGGCAAGCCACAAAGGAGGAGGGTATTTACAACTTATATAACTGACAAAGGATTAATACTCCAAACACGTTTTTGCTGTGGCCATACCCTTAGGTCCAGTCATTACCAGTTGCTGTAACTCCTCTGTATCCTCAGTGGAAACATTCCATTGTCTGATCTTCACCTCCCATCTTCCCGGCTCACACCCTCTAACATCCCAGCACCAACAATTCTCTGACCCCGCCAGGTCACATTGATTCAGCTACCTTTCCACCATGCTTCCTCACCCAGCTCAGATTCTGTGGTTCGACATTATAATCACTCCTTTTCACACAAATTCAACTCCCTTGTATCTCTTTCCTTTGTTGGACTCACCCAGCAAAATCTTAACGCTGGTTGAAACCTCTTTTCACCCTCTCGACACCTACACTCACTTAACACGGCTGGAGGAAACTGCACGACCAGGCTCACTGGTCTTGCTGTTAATTCCTGACTGCTGATTTCAGTGAGCCACCAGTGCAGCCAACAACCCCACTGCGTGGACCTCACCCACACTCTCTCCCACTCCCAAAAGGACGACTACACCGCAGCTCTCTAGCAAGCCTTGCCTGACACCTCCACCCCATCGTCATGGTCGATCCTGCTTTCCATTTCTTCAAGGGGCAAAAAAAAGCAACACAAGAGAACTCTCATTTGCCTCTGTCACCGCCTCTACTGCACTTGTACCAGCAGAGTCTACTTTAATTCTATGAATGAAGTGTGACAACTCTTCCACCTGCTAAGTAGATCTATCAGCTCCCTGCTCCTGCACTTCTGGCCTCTCTCTTTTCCTGTATTGTTCCCATGAACATGCTGTTAATTGTCACATCTTAAAAGCAACAAAATGTCCCTCAACACCCCTCCCCAACACAAAACACCATCCCATTTCTCCACTCCTCTTTAAGAAAATCACTCTAAAATAAATTTTATACTTGTTTCCAAGTCTCTTCTATTTCTAGTTTTAAATATTTACTATACGTTTTTCTGTAGAAGAGAAAGATTTCTTTTGCCCAAACCCATCTCCTGTAAAAAGCGTTTGGTTGGATATTTTGATTTAGCCTTACAATCTTTGTAAGGACAGGGAAGCCTGCCATGCAGTTCATGGGGTCGCAAAGAGTCAGACAGGACTTAGCAACTGAACAACTGCAACAATCTTTGTCTTCTAACTTGAGTATTTACAACTTAGTACTTAAAAAATATAACAATGCCACCTGCAGGAAAAGAGCTACAACTATTTTTTTAAGATAATGATAAAGTTTAAAATCAGGTTAGTGAAATTATTAAACTAATTAGTAACTAATTAGTTAAAATTATTAAACTAACTAATTAGTAAACTAGGAACATTGTTTTCAGTAGTTCCATCCACACCTTCTAGAACTGAAGTTGGTCCTACATTATCTGTTCCACTTTATTTTGGATGGAAAAAAAGACACCAGATTAGTCTTGCTGGTGCCAGGACCAGGGGGAATTGCTACCTAGGAATAAGATACATGTTATAATGCATTGAGACTTTAAGAATAACCAGAAGTTCTTGAATAAATGTAGGCTAAACTTCATCATTCCAATTTTATTTTTACTACTGCCTTGAATAAATTAGTTCCCAACTCCATACTCAGAGGCAGTTTAGTAGTGATTCAGTGCTTGGGCTCTGAAGTCAAACTTTCTGGGCCCAAATCCTGGCTATACTATTTAATATTAATTAGCTGTGACTTCAGGCCTTTCAACATTGAATCATCTGACAATCTAACTGCCATTCCTTTGAAGTTTTACCAGTCTTCTTTTTCTGTGCATAAGATTTTCCTTTTGTGTTTTTCACTTTCCTTCTGATGAGGTTAGATGTGGAATTATTTTCATTTATACTGTTTGGAATATGCTGGACTTCAAAATCTGTGGATGGGTGATTTACATCAGCTTGGAAAAATGAGTTATCATCTCTTTTGCTCCACCCATACCTCTCTCTTCTCCTTCTGGAAGTCCTCTTAACATATGTGGGAATTTTTCTCTTGATCCACATTGTACCTTTATCTCTGTTTTGTATTTTTATTCTCAGAATCACTCAGTGATTCCTCCTTGACAATTTCTTCAGTCTTCAACTCTCTAATTCTTTTTCTCAGCTCTGTCTAATCCACTATTAGTCCCACTTATTTCTTATTTATTGATTTATTTTTATTTGTTTGGCTGTGCTGGGTCTTCGTTGCTGCGTGTGGGTGTTCTCTAGTTTCAGTGCCTGGGCTTCTCATTTCAGTGGTTTCTCTTATTGCAGAGCATGGGCTCTAGGTACACAGGCCTCAGAAGTCGCGCTCGTGGGCCTAGCAGTTGTGGCACGTGGGCTCAATTGCTCTGAGGCATGTGGATCTTTCCAAACCAGGGATCAAACCCATGTCCCCTGCTTGGGCAAGTGGACTCTCCAACACTGAACCACCAGGGGAGTTCTAATCCTACTAATTTCTGTTTGTGCATGCTTATTTGGTTCTTCTAAACATATGTTGGAAATATTTTTAATAGTCTCCAGCCCTTTATTTATATTTTCAATCCCTTCGTTTCTTTACATATAATAAACAGTTTATATTCTGTGCCTGATAATGCTCATCCCCGTAGCCTTTCCAGGTATGCTGCCTCCGTCTTGTCTCAACCGGCTGCCGCTTAGGATGCTCTTCTTCCCATGTGCTTGTGATTTTTCTAATCGTGAGCTTTCTTTCTGAGAACTTTGTTGGGATTATTAGAATTTTGTGGGACTGGGTTGAAGGCAGATTCCTATCAGTGAGATTAACATTTGCTCATACCTACTTGAAATCCCTTTAGACTAAATTGTCAGTCTGAGATGTTTTGGATCACCCAGGTTGACGGTGTACATTTGGACTTCAATGCACATGTGTGGTAGCTTGTGAGTATGAGTGATTAGGAGGTATTTTTTGTTTTCCCTTTTATTCAGTAAAAAAGCTCAAGCACTACAATTGCCTTTAGTCTCTAGGGATGGTGGTAGAGTTGTGCTTATTTCCAGGTCACTTTTTATAATGAAGGTCTAGCTCTCTAGGGTTTCAAACTAATCGGAGGAGGATCCAGTTATTATGTGCCTAACTTGAGAAGGTTCTGGGCTATATCTTTATCCTTCCTTTTTATTGTATTCATTCTTTTTATTTTATAGCCATGAAAAATCTAAGTTCCAATCGCCTGGGTGGCAAATACTCTCAAGAAAACTCCCAGCCTCAGGGGTGCCTTTACCTCTTTTAGTTCCCATTTTCACATTGGTTTTGGCCTCTGAGTATGCCTTCCTGGGCTTCCCTGGTGGCTTAGTGGTAAAGAACTCACCTGTCAATGCAGGAGACATAG